CTCATAGGTTGATCACTAATTATTTGTTAAAAAGTTCAAAATCTAAACATTGCTAAATCAGCTTCTACTCTTATAATTATTTAAACTAATCTTGTAGTAATCTTGAAATATCAGATATTGGGGGTACGCTCCACTGTCCCCAAGCAACTGCCTCAGGCCTAGACACATCGRCGGCTATCATTTTCTATTATTCAACTACAATTGAATCCAGTCAACTAGACAATCAATTGTATGAGTGTCCGATAAATGATTTATTTTTGTGGCTGCTGCCTTGGAACCAATCAAGGCTCTATGTCATGGAGTTTGTGTAAGTAAGTCTGTAACAAAAGATAAACTTCAGAACCAATGCGCAAGCTGATTGGCTGGCTACCATGTTTATACAGTCAATTCAAAAAACGTTGTTGTCGACCGGCTCAAGCCTACACGACTGGACCGAAAGGAATATGGGTAAAAATCATTGAAGCGGTTAAATATTTGTTCTGAATTCATTGTTCCCRCAAGTAATAAGATAATAATGGCTGGAAACAATCCATCAAATGCAGGTCTTTGGGTTTAGGGAAAGAAAAACAAAATAGTTATGATTCAGTTCACAATTTCRAAAATATGAAGGCATTAAAAACAAGTCTCCTTCGACACTTCCCGCTYGCCTACGAAGGTTCATGCCATAAACCAGGCATAACTAGTCAGATAAAATTATGGAGTCAACTCGGCTTCAATGGTTGCTACCCAGAGTTCCTTTCGATCCAGTCGCGTAGGCTTGAGCTGGTCGACGACAACATTTTTTGAATTGACTGTATATCAGAGGGCAGACACATGCTCGCGCACAATCATTCAAAAATATTTTATAAAAGCGATATAAAACGTCTGCTTGTGTCTATATACTGTGATATAAACACTCTGGGAGCTGTAAAGCACTCAAGAAATCAAAGAAGCACTCGGCTAAGCTTCGTGTTTTTCTACGACTTCTCTCTTGCTCTACAGCTCCCATCATGCTTATATCACAGTATATAGACAGGCGCGTCATTTTATATTCCTTAATAATAATACAATAAACTTGCGCTGSGCAGCCATACTTGAGCCTCTAATAAACAAGGTCAGTTAACATAGACTAGTCCCAGACCTCTTGGCGAGTTAAATACAAGATGGTGGCTATTTTTGATTCGTGTCGTTTCATGTGAACTTTTACCTTGTTTATTGACAAAATGATGCAACTTTTATTATTTCAAAAGTACTCTAAATCTTTTAAAATTAGCAGAAAGTATTCTTTGGATAATTCATGCGCCCTTGGGGGCGCATAGAGTTGAATTTGTGCGCCATTTCTGTTTTTCAATTCTTGCAATGGCGCGGCCTGGTAAGAACACTGTTTTAGTGCCTACTACAAAGTAGTAGACACTATTGTCATCGGGTTGTGAAATTAACTCTGTCACGCGTATAAACTTTATCGAGTAAATAAACAAAGCATATTTAATTTAATTTAATTTAATTTAATCAAATTTCCAAATACATTACATTACAGTGATTACAATGATACAACTTATACCTGTTAATCGCCAAAACAGAATCACATATGAAGTAGAAGAGACCTAACTTACATACACTTACACACACACCAACATACTCCAAAAATCAACAAAAATCAACTCCTAAAATTCCAATTGGAATGAAAGTGGATGGATAGCTACTCTGTAGAAATGCCACTGCTAGATCCCATTTATTTATTTATTTATTTTATTTAACATACAAACACACACTTACACACAAACGCATACATGCACACACTCACAAACACTTATCATCTTTAGTCAGATTGGCAATAATAAATATTCATTTGTCAAATAAACCATCAAACAATTACTGGTAATCAATGAAAACTATTTTGCCTCTAAACTGACTTGGAAGTTTAAAGGAAATTCATCATCAGATTATGGAGTTTGACCATCTTTAGTAAAGACAAGTAAAATCTTTGGCAAGATATCAGAAGGCACAACAACTTTACTAACTAGGCTTGAAATCATATTTCTCATTTCATTCCATTTCTCAGAAGGGCTAGTGGAATAGTAACACAACATTATGACCCAAAAAAACAGCTTTTCCCAAGTCCAGTAAGAAAATGTTTCGGTCACATGAACTAATTGCTTTGGATTGTTTACATTTTTGTTGCCCAAAAGTTCCGCTGACAATTATTTCGAAACGCTTCCATACAAATCTTCGACACTTCGTTAACTTGAAGATAAACATATGAACTTTAAGAACTTTTAAACAATTTGCAAAACAAACATCTGATTTCGCCAAAAATGGAATGTATAAAAAATGACATGACGTCACTGTATTGCTATGGTAACTCCAATCGCGATAAATTGTATATCATGTAAAACTTGAATCTATCTCTAGACATGTCATAATAATTTATTTGAAATTAACTTAATGGCAGCGATGCATTTCCCCTTCAAACTTCGAAGGTACACCACAAACAAAACCCAGTCAAGCCACCTTAAGATGATGGTCAAAAAATAAAATCAATAAAATCTTAGTAAAAAAATGACTCCTTYGTAAAATACAGAAAAAAATGCAAGGCATTAAACAGGCAATTCACTTATGACCCTATCGTGAAACGATTGAGTAACATAATAGGCGTTTTAAACTTAGATGACTTAGATGAGGCTATTTATAGACCWAGACATCCTTGCACTTTGTGCTGACTACGTGTACATTCAACGTCTACATAATAAAAAATATGTATGCGCATTGGAAATGATTATTTCAGCTATTTGCATAACGAAATCTTTTTTTACTATCCTCATTTACTTCACCAACATAATTAAATCATTCACAATAAATAACAGCACACATAGCCAGTTCCTATAGTGTAATTCAACGGTGTATATTCTATTTACCGTAACAATTAATATTCATAAAAAACAAAATATTGTCAGTAGATAGAAAATTTAATATTCTTTAATTCAGACAATATTTTATAAACTTACTGACCTTCGGGTTTCGGTTCGGGCTGTCTTCTTAATCTTATTCCCATTAATATAAGAAACAAGACGAGTGGAATAAGAACTTCGAACAAGACAGCAAGCTGAAATAGAAGGGGATAAACGAAATTTAGCCCTGCATCTAACCTTGTAAGAGTGAATTAAACACGGAATTAAACTCACCGGAGATCTTTTCTTTAGTGTAAAATTTTTCCACAGCAAAAGTCGCAACTGAAGGCCAAATCCCATACTTTTGTTGATGTTGACCCGGCTTCGCTTCGTTGATTTAACGAAAAACAACCGATAGATGGGAAAATTTCGTTGATCTAAGGTTATATTCTCAAAGGTCTTCTCAAAGCAACAATAAAGCAATAAAATGTATCGTCTTAAAGGTTAAATAGATAAGCATCGCATTGGTATCTTATCCGAATACTAATTCACGCAAACTGTTCATGAAGAAGAACCGAAAGATAAAAACAAAGAGCTACAGATCAAAAAACATATTTTTCTTGGGTCACGTGTCCAAACTTCCACATTCATCGACACTAGTTCTCAGGCTTTCTCATTCTCTTCTCGAGTCTCCATCGTAGCTCATCGTAGGCTGATCGGATCCGGATCGGATTGGAACGAGCTTGGATCCGGAGTTCCTCTTTTATGATTGGCCAGGTGATCTCAGGGAACGCGCGCAAAGGATTATTGTAGTTGATCAGGTGCTTTATTACCATTTTAGGTAAATACTCCATGTATCCCTGATTATTATGTCCTGACGGTATGCTTTGTGTTATCGTGCATGATTTCGCTGGRCTCCCACTGTATCCTAGTGCATCCACTGTTACCACTGTATCCTATAGTATCCAGTGTATCCCAGTGTATCCAGTGTATCCTAGTGTATCTACTGTATCCAGTGTATCTTAGTGTATCCACTGTTTCCAGTGTATCCTGGTGTATCCACTGTATTCACTGTATCCACTCTGTATCTTAGTGTTTCCTAGTGTATCCTAGTGTATCCACTGTTTCCACTGTATCCACTGTATCCTAGTGTATCCACTGTATCCAGTATCCTAGTGTATCCTAGTGTATCCGCTGTATCCACTGTATCCTAGTGTATCTACTGTATCCTAGTGTATTCTAGTGTATCCACTATATCCTAGTGTATCCACTGTATCCAGTGTATGCTAGTGTATCCACTGTATCCACTGTATCCAGTGTATCCAGTGTATCCAGTGTATCCTAGTGTATCCTAGTGTATCCACTGTATCCAGTGTATGCTAGTGTATCCACTGTATCCAGTGTATCCTAGTGTATCCTAGTGTTTCCTAGTGTACCTTAGTGTATCCACTGTATCTACTGTATCGACTGTATCCACTGTATCCTAGTGTATCCTAGTGTATCCACTGTATCCACTGTATCCACTGTATCCTAGTGTATCCACTGTATCCTAGTGTATCCACTGTATCTTAGTGTATCCTAGTGTATCCACTGTATCCAGTGTATCCAGCGTATCCTAGTGTATCCACTGTATCCAGTGTATCCAGTGTATCCTAGTGTATCCTAGTGTATCCTAGTGTATCCTAGTGTATCCTAGTGTATCCTAGTGTATCCTAGTGTATCCTAGTGTATCCNAGTGTATCCTAGTGTATCCTAGTGTATCCTAGTGTATCCTAGTGTATCCTAGTGTATCCTAGTGTATCCTAGTGTATCCTAGTGTATCCACTGTATCCTAGTGTATCCACTGTATCCTAGTGTATCCACTGTATCCTAATGTTACCTAGTGTATCCACTGTATCCACTGTTTTCAGTTTATCCAGTGTATCCAGTGTATCCAATGTTTCCAGTGTATCCTTGCGTATCCAGTGTATCCATTGTATCTAGTTTCCTAGTGTATCCACTGTATGCAGTGTATCCTAGTGTATCCACTGTATCCACTGCTTCCTAGTGTATCCTAGTGTATCCACTGTATCCTAGTGTATCCATTGTATCCACTATATCCTAGTGTATCCACTGTATCCAGTGTATGGTAGTGTATCCACTGTATCCACTGTATCCAGTGTACCCTAGTGTATCCACTTTATCCACTGTATCCACTGTATCCACTGTATCCA